GCCCCACTCGAGCCTCGAACTCGCGACCTTTTTGATTAGAGTCAAACGTCCTAACCTTGAGCCACGAACTCGTTGCTTAGCCAGTTTATGTCAGGGGCTACTCACGCTCGTTGATGAACCTTCATCTGACCGCAAACGAGACTCTTCTGTCCCCCTCTGCCTTGGGTGTCGCCAGGGGCCCTGACAGTCGTAACAGCTGGTAGTTTAGGGAGATAGTATTGCTGGCAAAGACAAGGGAGACTAGAATGGCCATTTCTGCCTTATCAGCTCCCTCTCCTACCTCGCTTATCGGTGTCACGGCAGAATCGAGAAGACCGGAAGCGGGATCGGGCGCAGGTGGCTGACGCGGCGGGTAGCCGCGTTCCAGGTGTTTGAATAAGTAAAGGGAAGGCTGGTTGAGCACCGGAACAGTTTTCTTATTATTATGAGACTTCAAACCCATCAGGGGGTTCACCGTCAGAGATAACTGCAGCAACAACATAGACGACAATTACAGGGAGTGTAAGCCAAACAAATATCAGTGAAACACGTCTGGAGGCGACTGCGCAGGGCTCTGTACGCCGGTTCCGAATCGATATATCGACTGAGCGAGTTCCCATCCGTGGACCAAGGTTCAATTAATTCTCGGCTTGTCTTCTTTCCAGCGTCTATGATTATGTTGACAGCCGCGAAGTTGAACACATGGACCGTTTCGTAGGTGTGAGCATTAACTTGCGATAATTCGTCGCCCCGTCGTACAAACAGCTTATGTTCATGTATGCGCGATCTGAGCATGTGCACACTTTGACCCGTGTAATTACAAGGGCAGTTTGGGCATGGTATACGATACACTACCCCAATATTGCTCTTTGGGATCTATCCAGTCTTTGGTTATTATTACGCTGTTGCGCATGGAAGCTTTGGGCTGGTGTGCAATTACAACACCTAGTCCCGCAGCGATGAACTCAGAGGCTTCTGAGACGTCCCTGCTGTATGGCGGAGTGGTGCTTCTGTTTGGGTCCTTCGAGGTCTGATACGGAGACGTCGGCTTATAAACCCCTTCGAATATCCATTCCGCATAAACTGGTTACGGATATTTCGGGCCTAGCATACTTTTTCCTCCGGCCCGCCGCAGTGAGTCTGAATCCGTTTTAAGAGCGTTCACACACAGCTTCGTTTATGAGCAACCGGATGGTTGCTGTGAAAGCTGAACAGTTGTGTTGTGTTTGTTGCCCTCCTGTAAACCATCGTCCTGATTCTACCACTGTAATCGGGCCCAAAGAAGCACTATGTCCTGGGAACGTTACAACTCCATCAAGTCATTGTTGAGTGCTGTACATAGGGCCTTCGAGAACTATGAAAGCAGAACCAAATCCAAATACTGTCATAGCCTGCACACTTTATAACAAGCCTTGCATCCTTTGCATATCTAACCCTGCCCCTGTAGCTGCAAGTTTGTATGATTGTATTTTGTACTGTGTTCATGGAAGTAAATTCGTATATGATTGACACACTGTCGAAAACATAATTTCTGAGCACAATACCCGAACGCAGCCGAGTTTACAAATTAAAGTGAGCAGCAATAATGCAAGAAGGGGTTTTTAGGGGGGGGGGCAGTTATATATTAGCCTTGTCGGGTTCTTCTTCAGTCACATTTTGTGTGCGCTGAAAGTGCTATATTTCTGCCTGAATTGCGGTGCCGCATGGCAGAACCACAATATAAGCATTAGAAGTCCGTCTAGAGATCGCGACCGCCGCGTAAATCTGCGTAGCGCTCTCCGTTGCTCTCAACCGTGAGGATAAATCAGTTTTAAAGTTCAGACACTGCTGTGGTTGACGTGACCAGGATGAACAGGACCCTCGGATATAGTAAACGGCATTCAACCTATGATGTCTCCGGCTTCTGTACTACAGACTTGCTGAGCATTTTG